CAGTGATTCCCAAAGTGGGCGCTACCGCCCCCCGGTGGGCGCTGCAGCGATCCAGGGGGGCGGTGATGGCCACAGGTGCATTTGGGGGTGATGAGTAACTGCTATTAAAATTTAAAAAAAATTAATTTCCAGGGGCTGAGTAATATTTTTCTGGAAAGGGGGCGGTAGGCCAAATAAGTTTGGGAACCACTGAGTTATATAAATGTCTAGTCATTTATATGGTTTGTACACCTAAAACTAATATATTGTACATCAACTGTAATTGAAAAATAAAACATTATTTAAAAAAAGGAAACGAACACTACATGACAGGATTACAGGAAGTAAGAGTGAAGAAACATTTTTTTAAAACTCAAGTAAAAAGTATGAGCCAAGGATTTTAGTTTTAAACTTTCAGAACTCAAGAAATCTTATATTCAAGAACTCCTGCTGACAATTCTACAAGGGGTCAAGTTTCAGCTAATTAAGAGATGATTGGAAAAGTTTGGCAAAAGAACAGATAATGAAAATTGAATAGGTTTAATTATAAATCTAAGACTAAAATATGGAGATACAAATTGAAGAGCATTCTCTGACAAGGTAGAAATACAACTTAAATTGGGAGCAAAGGGGACATGTAGAATTAGCTCAATGATTGGTGCACAGGTTGGACGTGGGAGTCAGAGGATATAATTTAAACTAGCACACTACATAGTAGAAACCTAAGTGGTAAGGGTGCTATGGAGTGAGAGCTGAGGTCCTGAGGCTTTCCAGCATAGACCACCTCCTCTATCCTGGCTGATGGCTTCACCTCAGCTTCCTCATGCTCTGACCCTTGTGGTATCTTTTAATATTTCAAGCATTAAATAGGCTCTAGACAAACCTGAAACCGAAGGTCCTTATGATGTTGATTAAATTTAGCTTTAAATCTTAGCTCTAGAAATCATATCTCTCTCTATATATACACTCAGAAACCTAGCCTTCCCCCGGATAATCAGCAAGAACATTAGCCTGAATCTGACTAATGGTCACAAGGTCCACACTATGACAGGCTAACGGTAACACGACTAATGGTCACAAGGTCCACACTATGACAGGCTAACAGTAACATCTTTTTCTTTTTCTTTTTAATATATTTTTATTGATTTCAGAGAGGAAGGGAGAGGGAGAGAGAGATAGAAACATCAATGATGAGAGAGAATCATTGATTGGCTGCCTCCTGTACACCCCCTACTGGGGATTGAGCCCGAAACCCGGGCATGTGCCCTTGACTGGGAATCGATACCAGGACCCTGCAGTCTGCAGGCTGATGCTCTATCCACTGGGCCAAACCAGCTGGGGCAACATCTTGACCTAAGTTATATTTCAGCTCCTGAGCCCTAAGGTGGAATGACTCCTGGCTACTCTATCATGAAACCAGGAGGGACACGGGAATAGACCTCAGAACTGTCCCCAGTACCTGAAGAAATGACTTACTACCCTTCCCTCACCTCTGACCAATCAGCTCCCAGCATGATCCTCAATCCTCCCACCCAGTGTCTTGTGACTTTACCTTCTATAATCTGTAACCTATACACTATTGGGGAGTTCAGGTTTTTGTGCATTAGCTTCCTTCCAGTTCTCCTGGGTGGTGCTGCTTATAATAAAATAGCCAATATTTCTCCGCTGCAAAGAAAAGAAAAGACACTATTGGGGAGTTCAGGTTTTTGTGCATTAGCTTCCAGTTCTCCTGGGTGGTGCTGTTTATAATAAAATAGCCAATATTTCTCCGCTGCAAAAAAAAGAAAAGAAAAAAATAAGCGTTACTTAAACACAAGGACTGATACTGGGACAGTTGACCTGATAACTGTGATGGCTGCTAAGTCACTTACAGGTGGGTAGGGTACAGGGATAGTTCACAACCCGGGTGGGATGGAGCAGGACACGGGAGGGTTCATCACACTACTCAAATGCAGGCACTTTAAAACTTAGGAATTGTTTAATTCTGGACTCTCCCCTTTAATATTTTCAGACTGAGGTAGACCACGAGTAACAAACCATGGACACAAAACCGGGGATAAAGGGGGATTTCCAATTCTTTCAACAAGCGAATACTTGCACTTCGGTAGAGGAGCCAGAATGAGAGGCTAAACGACTAGCGAGGCTTCTATGAACAGCTTTTGAACTCTGCACCAAACGGCTGTTTGTAGAGGGGGGAGCCGATCTCTCAATATCAGCTTCCTCTTGTGTAAAATGAGGATGGTGACAGCATCCGCCTCAAAGACTGAAGATTCAATGAGGTGAAGGGTGCTCAGTTAACCACAGCGACCATTACCTTTGCCAGAGGCTGCACAGCCAATGATGGCCAGGCCTGCTTTCGAGTCTCCCCCGCACCCTCCCGCGTGGGATGCGGCTCCCAAGGAGGAATTCCGCTTGGGTCGAACCCTCGCCAGGGATCTAGGGCCTCTCTTTCCCCGCCCACTCTCCGCTGCACGCCCGCCCTCGGTCCCGCCCCTTCCGCTAATCGGACTTCCGGGTCGCCAGCGCGCGCTGACGAAGCCCCGCCTACCACCCAGTAAGCGCCTCTGAGATTGGGCGAGCGGCGGCGGCAGCGGCCGGATCAGAGGCCCCGGGTATGTAGCACGCCGCGTGGGCGGGGGCTGGGGGGGCTGGTGGCTGGGCCCCCGGGGATCGGGCGGGCTGGCCTCGTTTTCTCCCGTTTCCGGGCCACCCGGCCCGTGTCCTGAGCTGGGCCGGGCTCTGGGCGCACGGAACCACCGCCCGAGGGGCCCCAGGCGTGCTGCGTGGTGTGGAGTACGCGCCTTTTTTTTCAAGCCTTGGCTGCAGTTTATTGAGCACCTACTATGTGGCAGCCACCGGATCCAACGCTTTGACTGACATCTATGGCTCACTGCCTGGACAGCAGCCCTACTGAGCAAGGTGTTAATTTTCCCCGCTTGACAGCTGTGGAGAAAGGTTTACAAGCAGAAAGAGATGGAAAGTGTGGATTCAAACCCAGGTTCAGGCCAAAGCCACTTCACTCTAGAGCAGCGGTTCTCAACCTGTGGGTCGCGACCCCTTTGGGGTCGAACGACCCTTTCACAGGGGTCGCCTAAGACCATCGGAAAACACATATATAAGTACATATTGTTTTTGTGATTAATCACTATGCTTTAATTATGTTCGATTTGTAACAATGAAAATACATCCTGCATATCAGATGTTTACATTATGACTCATAACAGTAGCAAAATTACAGTTATGAAGTAGCAACGAAAATAATTTTATGGTTGGGGGTCACCACAACATGAGGAACTGTATTAAAGGGTCGCGGCATTAGGAAGGTTGAGAACCACTGCTCTAGAGCTTTGTGGTCAGACCTAAAGTTCATTTTTGAATCCAGCCTCTGCCGTGTCCAATTTTGTGGCTTTGGGTACTATTCCGACTCTCAGTTTGCTCATCTGAAAAAATGAGAATGATACCTATGTCAGGGTGGATGGGACGTTTTTCTGAGTGATCATCTTCGCTTTTCAGATGGGCACCCCTCGCTTCTCTCTTCCCCAGGAGGCTAGACGTGTTGTAAAGTTTTAGTGAAAACCCCCTTGGCGCATAGAGGGCGGCTGGACCGCCTGCCTTATCTTCCTTTCCCAGCTTCCCCAATAGAGGCGTTGGCACCTTTGACATTGAGTTTGCTTACGAAGTTTTCAAAGAGTTTTCTCTCTCCCCTACTTATGGGGAAATTTTCACCCAAATTAACTTTGACTAAGTCCTAAAGTTGAGGAAATGGAAGCTTTTGAATATGGGCTGGTGATTTTTACCTGAATAAATCAGATTGATTTGGCGGGGTGCAAACAAAGGCCTGGAAAACAGTGAAATGCTAGAGAGAGAGCTGGCTGATGAATAGAAAGTTGACCAGCCGGTTGGGTGGTTTTTTTTCCTAGCAGGGCCCTAAATTCCCACCAAATCCACTTCTATCTTGAGCAGTCAGAACTGCCCTGGATAAAACTTAGAGCAGTGATGGCGAACCTTTTGAGCTCGGCATGTTAGCATTTTGAAAAACCCTAACTTAACTCTGGTGCCGTGTCACATATAGAAATTTTTTGATATTTGCAACCATAGTAAAACAAAGATTTATATTTTTGATATTTATTTTATATATTTAAATGCCATTTAACAAAGGAAAATCAACCAAAAAAATGAGTTCGCATATCACCTCTGACACGCGTGTTATAGGTTCGCCATCACTGCCTTAGAGGGTGTTCCTTGCCTGTGCTTTAAGGAGAAAAGACGAGGGCTGGTAGCTGAAGGCAGGCAAACAGCGAGCTTAGCTTGGTTTTGAAAACTACCGACTTGCACATTTTTAGGTAGTTGGAATTTTTCTTTGAAAGTTTTAGTAGTTGCAAAGGATATAATTTATAGTTAATTGTAAACATTGACATTAAATAATAAAACACCAGGAATTTAAATCTTCAGTGAAATCTAAATACCATAGTGATTTGATTTCCCTCATCCTTTGAGGGGAAAAAATACACAAACCAGTTTTTATTTAACAGTTGAAATTTTGCATCGTTCCTTTTTCATTCTTAAACTTTCTGTTTTATTTCCTCCACAGAATTTTTTTTCTAGTATAATAGATTTTATGCTTGGAAGCCTTTGGTTTGTTATCCTACTTCTCTGCAACAAAAATTAAAACATTTTTGAAAATTGTGTTGTCGTAATATTAAACATTTTCCTTGAGATTGAATTTTTGCAATTTAAAATACACAATTGATCAAAAACATATTACTAGTTTTGATAATTGTTAAACATAAAAAGTTTTCTTTGAAATGCTTCTTTTCACAAGCTGAGTGGAAGTACTTGTTTTAGTTCATGCATTCATTCTATAAATGAGCACAGCTTTTTTATTCCATGGCTGTAAGCATTGAAAAAGTTGTTTCAGTCCTCGCTGATTTGGCTTAGTGGATAGAGTGTCGGCCTGAGGACTGAAGGGTCCTGGGTTTGATTCTGGTCAAGGGCACATGCCTGGGTTGATTCCCAGTAGGGGGCGTGCAGGAGGCAACTGATCAATGATTCTCATCATTGATGTTTCTCTGTCTCTCCTTTTCCCTTCCCCTCTGAAATCAATAAAAATATATTAAAGAAAGAAAGAAGTTGGTTCATATCCGGCCTGTGTGGCTCAGTGTTGAGCATCTACCTGAATCAGGGTTTGACTTGCACTCGAAGTGAGATGAGAGCCATTGGAGGATTTTGAGCATAGCGGTCACGTCATCAGACTTGCATTTTTAAAGGGACACACTGGCTTAGTTGATATATTATGAAGAGACTGTTGGGGAACAAAGGTGGTAGCAAGGAAATCACTCAAAGGCCACTGCAGTAACCTGGGAGCAAGATGATGGTGGTAGATGGAAAGGGGGTGTCTGGCCTGGTTGTGGAGGTGGGTGGCAGAGTTGGCAGGGGGCACTGATGGGCTGGATAGAGATTGTGAGCCAGGAGCCAGGAGGACCCTCGGGTTTTTGGCCAAAGCAATTGAAAGGATGAAGGTGCCCTTTAGGGAAATAGAGTAGACTTCAGTGACATGTCGCACACTGAGTTGCGGAAGATGAGGTGACCATGACATGTGTTCCCTCATTGAATCCTGACAAAACCCCTGTGAGTAGTCATTATTAATCCTGTTTTATACGCAAGTTAGCAGAATTCCACAATGCTGGCGTATTGCCCAAGGCCACAGGGCTGGTTTAGGGGACCGAGTTGAGATGTCAGCGAAGGTCCCTGTGACTTTAAAGTTCGTGAGAGGTGACAGTCCCTTTGATCCTTTTTTCTGCATAAATGCCAGCATTGTAGTCCAGTCGGAACAGCCTCCCCGCTCGCCCATAAAAGCTCTCTGGAGCGATGGTTTGTGCTTAGAGAGTGCTCAAGAGGAGAGACCTGTTCCCGCCCTTCCCTGGGTGTTGGCAAGGGGAGAAGGAAGAGGAATACTGACTGCCAACCCTTGACTTGGGGCCCCTTCAAATAATTGGCAGCCTGGAGAAGGTGGTAACGAAACAGACCAAGCAGGAGAGGGAACTTGGACTCAGGTTTAAACAGCAACGTCTCACCAAGCAGACAAGATTAGCAATGGGGAAACCACAGATAAAAATAGCACTTACTAGTTAGCTGGAAAACAACATATCTTTGCAACCACTGCTTCCACGAGAAAATAATTGGGTCCCTAGACAGGTAGTGACTCATATTCATGAATGATTATATTGATCATTGGAGCAAAATGGATACATACCCTTTGAAGAGCAATTCATGGCTGGTCAGTCATGCCCAGTATGAGATCCTGAGGGGCCACAAAGGGAGGAAGAAATGAAGTTGCCAGCTAATGAGGGAGCCAGGTCCTGCCCCAGCACAAGCAGGTTTGGGTTGTAGATTGGGAGATGCAAAGCATAGAACTCACTTCCAACGGAAGCCCTCAGTTCTCCCAAGGGAGGAAAGGAAGAGTGTTCATTCAGGTATCAATTCCTTATGCTGTTTAACCCATTGGGTGTTTTGTTTGTTTCCTTTTTTTTTTTTTCCAGAAGGGATTGACTAGCAGCAAGCAGCACATTGTGATGGGAAAAGGAGTAGCTGGGAGTTTGGTTTCAGCCTCCCCTTTGGCACTGACAGGAGAATGTGACCCCAAGCATTTCCCCTCCCCTTTCCTGGTCATTCAGTCATTCATTCTATAAATAGTTACCAAACACTCTCTCATAACTAATAAAGAACATTGGTTGCGTGCTTAATGTGTTGCCAGGTACTATTCTAGGCACTTTACGTGTGTTAACTCATTTCTTCTTCACAGCAACTGAGAGTAGGTGCCATTAGCTCCATTTTGCAGATGAATCGAAGAAAGGTTAAGTAACCTGACCAATGTCACTCACCTGGTAAGTGACAGACAGGCATTAGACCAGCGGTTCTCAACCTGTGGGTCGCGACCCCTTTGGGGGTCGAACGACCCTTTCACAGGAGTCGCCTAAGACCATCGGAAAACACATATATAATTACATATTGTTTTTGTGATTAATCACTATGCTTTAATTATGTTCAATTTGTAACAATGAAATTGGGGGTCACCACAACATGAGGAACTGTATTAAAGGGTCGTGGCTTTAGGAAGGTTGAGAACCACTGCATTAGACACTAATGCTAGATGCTGGAGAAAAAGTGTGCAAAATGGACATAGCTTGTGGCCTCACGGAGCTTATTTTATCTGATGTGCTGGGAACAGTGACACAAATAAAAGTACAAAGTACTTCTGTGAACAGCTCTGGGTGTTGATTCCCAGGCCCCAAGGTCGTGCCAGTCTTTGGTTGGTCGGGAGAGAGATTTCAGAGAGTGTGACTCACAGCCTCCCCCAGGAGCTGGTGCTCGTATAAGCAATGGAAGTCCCGTTTCTCTCATTTACAGGTGTGGAAACCAGGGTTCAGAGAAGGGCAGATGTTTGGGGCTCAGCTTACCCCAAACTTACAGCC